ATTTATTATTTATTAAGTATATGAACAAATTTGGTTGCTAAAGGGACTAGACTTAAATGCATTTATGGAATTGATTATCATCTAAATTTTGGGCTGTCTTTGTTAGCTTAGTATAAATTATATTTTCATTTTCTTCTTTATTTTATTGTTATTGGCAATACCATATTTGTCGTCGACATCTATGTGTCATCAGATTAGAAAATGTCATATACTTTTGTGTTTCATATTTTGTTTTATTAATGAATTGCATGCGAAAATTACATTAAAAATAGTGAAATTACTGAAAAAAAAAATATTTTTGATATACAAAACAAGGACAAAGACCTATAATTATAATTTTTGAGACTGACGTTATTAATTAAGGCCGCAAATACAAGCGGTTCTGTTCAAGACAAGACCCCAATAATCAGTAATTAGTAATTACATATCCAATTTCATCCGTAATATTATTTCTTGATTTGTGAACCACCTCATTTACTCCTTTCGTTGACTGTTTGATCTAGAAAAAGTTTACAGTAAGATCTTAATAAATTTTAAATATGAACAATTTCATATTTTAGTTTTGAATTGATGATTTAAAGAAATAAGGTTAAACTATCAGTGAACTATAGGTTTTAACCGGATGGTAGGCATCTAAATCCTGAGAATTTCATTTCACATGGTACTCTCTGGCTCATGAATCTGGGAAAAAAAGAATGATATCCCGAATAAATTTATACTCTTTCCTCGTGAATCTTTCTCTGCAAAACCTGTGCAAAATATTACTGTCATCACTAACCTATGTCTGTCTTTTGTTGTATGCATTCATGGCATCTAACTGTTAAGGATCCTTCATTCAACAACCCCACCACACCTCCACTTTACTTAGTTTTGTTTGCTCTGCATTATTCTAAGTACCAATTGTGTGCAGTTGATTTCAACTAGCCCATAGTTTAACCACACTTCTTCCATCTTCCTTCAGCATTTAAATCTTCCACCAGTACCACTCTTTATTAATCCTCCATTAAAGCTCACCAGTAATTTCATGCTTCTCCTTTTCTTATATATCTCTCCATCTTTTCTCTTACCTCATCAATCTCTCTCCACTTCTCTTCAAACAAAAAATGGTTCTCATTGATCTCTCTTCCTTTTCTTCTTATTCATCGTTCTCTTCTTACTATCATCTCTTCTTCACCGTCGTCGCCTTTCTCGTCTCAGGCTTAATTTTCTTGGTTTCCCGGAAAAAATCCAAATCGAAACGTGTGAATCTTCCTCCAGGGCCTCCCGGATGGCCGGTTGTTGGAAACCTCTTTCAATTTGCTCGCTCTGGAAAATCTTTTATTAAATACGTTGAGGATCTTCTCCCGAAATATGGCCCCATTTTCACTCTCAAAATGGGAACTAGAACGATGATCATTCTCAGCGACGCCAAGCTCATCCATGAAGCTCTCATCGAGAGGGGCGCTCTCTTCGCCTCCAGGCCGAGAGAAAATCCAACAAGAAACATCTTTAGCTGCAACAAGTTTACTGTAAACGCCGCCGTTTACGGGCCCGTTTGGCGGTCCCTGAGAAGAAACTTGGTTCAGAATATGTTGAGTTCAAGTCGGCTTAAAGAGTTTCGGTATGTGAGAGATAAAGCGATGGATACATTGATTAACAGATTGAAGGCGGAAGCAGAGGCAAATGATGGAGCCGTTTGGGTCCTGAAAAATGCTCGCTTTGCGGTGTTTTGTATTCTTTTAGCGATGTGTTTCGGGATCGACATGGATGATGAAACGAATGAGAAAATGGATCAAGTAATGAAGCTTGTTCTAATCACATTGGATCCAAGAATCGATGATTATTTACCCATTTTAAGTCCATTCTTCTCCAAGCAACGCAAGAGAGTACTCGAAGTGAGAAAAGAACAAGTCGATTTCATGGTGCCCTTCATCGAAAAGCGTCGGACAATGCTTCAGAATCCGGGATCTGATAAAACGGCCATCTCCTTCTCCTACCTCGACACCCTTTTCGATCTCAAAGTTGAGGGGAGAAAATCAGGGCCGTCCAACGAAGAGCTTGTCACTCTTTGCTCAGAGTTCCTCAATGGTGGGACAGACACGACAGCCACAGGAATCGAGTGGGGCATTGCACAGCTAATCACAAACCCGGATGTCCAATCCAAACTGTTTGATGAAATCAAACGGACAGTCGGTGATCGAACCGTGGACGAGAATGACGTTGACAGGATGCCATATTTACAGGCTGTGGTGAAAGAACTTTTGCGGAAACACCCGCCAACATATTTTTCTTTAACACACGCAGTGACTGAGCCGACGACTCTGGCGGGTTATGATATTCCGACGGATGTGAATGTGGAGATTTATTTACCAGCAATTGCGGAGGATCCGAAATTGTGGAGGAATCCAGAGAAATTCAATCCTGACAGGTTTATTTCAGGCGGGGAGGATGCGGATATAACTGGGGTTAAAGGAGTGAGGATGATGCCATTCGGGGTTGGGAGAAGAATCTGTCCCGGTCTGGGAATGGGAACGGTTCATATTCATCTGATGCTGGCGAGAATGGTTCAGGAATTTGAGTGGAGTGCTTATCCTCCGAACTCGAAGATTGATTTTACAGAAAAATTGGAGTTCACTGTGGTGATGAATAACAGTCTGAAAGCTATGGTGAAGCCGAGGTGTTAATTGATTAAAATCTCCAAGGTATGACATTCGGCAAGTTGGGATCATTGGATAAGAAATAGTTTTATTTATATGTTTAAGAATTTTCAGTACTCTTATCTAATGATTCTGACTATCTTTATATCATATAAATACTTATCTAGTTTTATAAAATAACCCAATATTTATGCTATGTGTTTACGGGATTTATGCTTTTTTTTTTTTGTGTGGTTATTTGTTCTGAATTGGGTTTCTTTTGTTGGTTCTTGTACTTCAATGGAATGTTTGATTTTGCCTGAGAAATTAATTCAAATTTCTTGAACATTTGCTTCCTGGAACTGGCATTGCTTCGGAAATGTACTGTAGAGTCAGAGTCAGATTGTATAATGAATGTTGGAAAGTGATCTGATTTTAATTGGGGGTTTGACAAATTTTTGAATGGGCGGTGGTGTTTTATATGTGTCAATTGTCATGTTGGTGACTGGCGAGGGCTCTGGAAGTGGTTGGAATTAGTAATTTTCGGATAGTAGTTGTGCTTACAAACCAGAAACCAAGTCACTTCAATTAATTAACATTTATGTTGTCTCAGGATCTCTTATTTTACTGTGTACACCTGGTTCAATAAATTTGTAACATCTATGAAATCCTGGGATGAATGATCTAATCAATTATATAGAAGAATAGAACTCATATATCCGTTCACAGTTGTAATTTATTATAAATCACTGAACTAAGTAGTATTATCTCTTATCTAGTGTTTTGAAACCCGACCCGGGGTGTCATCCAACCACGAGGTCTGGCCTTGGGTTGACCAATCTGACCGGTTAAACTGATAAATTTGAAATCATGCAAACACGCCTCAATAAATACGCATTAGTCTTTACAGGTTTGAAATCTAGCAAAGACACTCCTATGATCTAATCGCATAGTTAAGGTTTTGATTTTTTCGACAAAATTCTGGCGGTCAAAATTCAATCCGACACCACCACCTGAACCATCGGCCTTCACTCTATAAAACCCCTCTAACCCCGAAACTTGGTAGCCCCCCGTTCGTCAACCGTAACTTGCGTGTACCGTTGTGATTGGGTTGATTTCATCGTCCAAAATTCAATTTAACAGCACTCTTTGAACCACCAGCCTCTACTCTACAAAACCTCTCTAACCTCGACACTTAGTAGCTCCTTGTTCACTAATGGTCTGGTTATGGATTTTAAGAACAATTGAAAGCAGTAACCCGACCCAGAGAAGGCCCCAAGTTCTGGTCTGACTAGTTAAACTAGTCAGGCCGGGCCAGGTTTTAGAACAGTGCTCTTATCTTCCCTGAGATAAGAAAATATTATTAAGACCATAAAAAATATTAAAAGTTATTGTTGTCTCTCTTCATAATTTATTGAATCATCATTTACCTGTTCAAATTTTGTTTATTTATCCTTCATTTGAAAGGTAAATGCTGATTTTATCAAATTTGAAGAGAGATTATGATGATTTTTGATACTTTAGAAGTGTCGTTGATATTTTCCAAACCTCAAGGGAGGTCAAAGATTAATATAAGGTTCACAATTACGAGGGCCGAATAACCTCAATCTATTGCAAAAGAACATTTTCTCCCCTTGATTTCTAAAACACGTAATGCAACCCACATTTTTGAATTCAAGTATAAAAACTGAATTGTGAAAAGGTAATCTTGTCAATTCATAATGTTGTATTAGATTTTCTGTCTCCATAATTTTAAATATGTGAGATGAATTGACAAGATTACCCTTTCATGGTTTAGTTTTAACGCTTGAATTAATGAAACCAAGGAGGAAACTGTTTTTTCACAATAGATTGAGGGTTAAAATGTTATTTGGCCTAATTACAAGCAAAATTACAGAACCCATCTTATATTGTCTTTGAATCACTCGATGATGATTAAAGAATTAATTAGATTAATTCCTATACGTAAGTATATGCTCTTCTTTTATACATTGATTTATTCAAATGTTTGTAACCATTCTATGGAAAGTTGTTGGACCATTTATACACCTTAAAAATATTAATTAAAAGTTAATGGAGATTAATCAAATTATCCGCCCATATGTATATAATTTATTACATCCAAATTATAAGATCTTAATAAATTTTAAATATGAACAATTTCATATTTTAGTTTTGAATTGATGATTTAAAGAAATAAGGTTAAACTATCAGTGAACTATAGGTTTTAACCGGATGGTAGGCATCTAAATCCTGAGAATTTCATTTCACATGGTACTCTCTGGCTCATGAATCTGGGAAAAAAAGAATGATATCCCGTATAAATTTATACTCTTTCCTCATGAATCTTTCTCTGCAAAATATTAGTGTCGTCACTAACCTATGTCTGTCTTTTGTTGTATGCATTCATGGCATCTAACTGTTAAGGATCCTTCATTCAACAACCCCACCACATGACCTCCACTTTACTTGTTTTTGTTTGCTCTGCATTATTCTAAGTACCAATTGTGTGCAGTTGATTTCAACTAGCCCATAGTTTAACCACACTTCTTCCATCTTCCTTCAGCATTTAAATCTTCCACCAGTACCACTCTTTATTAATCCTCCATTAAAGCTCACCAGTAATTTCATGCTTCTCTTTTTCTTATATATCTCTCCATCTTTTCTCTTACCTCATCAATCTCTCTCCACTTCTCTTCAAACAAAAAATGGTTCTCATTGATCTCTCTTCCTTTTCTTCTTATTCATCGTTCTCTTCTTACTATCATCTCTTCTTCACCGTCGTCGCCTTTCTCGTCTCAGGCTTAATTTTCTTGGTTTCCCGGAAAAAATCCAAATCGAAACGTGTGAATCTTCCTCCAGGTCCTCCCGGATGGCCGGTTGTTGGAAACCTCTTTCAATTTGCTCGCTCTGGAAAATCTTTTATTAAATACGTTGAGGATCTTCTCCCGAAATATGGCCCCATTTTCACTCTCAAAATGGGAACTAGAACGATGATCATTCTCAGCGACGCCAAGCTCATCCATGAAGCTCTCATCGAGAGGGGCGCTCTCTTCGCCTCCAGGCCGAGAGAAAATCCAACAAGAAACATCTTTAGCTGCAACAAGTTTACTGTAAACGCCGCCGTTTACGGGCCCGTTTGGCGGTCCCTGAGAAGAAACTTGGTTCAGAATATGTTGAGTTCAAGTCGGCTTAAAGAGTTTCGGTATGTGAGAGATAAAGCGATGGATACATTGATTAACAGATTGAAGGCGGAAGCAGAGGCAAATGATGGAGCCGTTTGGGTCCTGAAAAATGCTCGCTTTGCGGTGTTTTGTATTCTTTTAGCGATGTGTTTCGGGATCGACATGGATGATGAAACGAATGAGAAAATGGATCAAGTAATGAAGCTTGTTCTAATCACATTGGATCCAAGAATCGATGATTATTTACCCATTTTAAGTCCATTCTTCTCCAAGCAACGCAAGAGAGTACTCGAAGTGAGAAAAGAACAAGTCGATTTCATGGTGCCCTTCATCGAAAAGCGTCGGACAATGCTTCAGAATCCGGGATCTGATAAAACGGCCATCTCCTTCTCCTACCTCGACACCCTTTTCGATCTCAAAGTTGAGGGGAGAAAATCAGGGCCGTCCAACGAAGAGCTTGTCACTCTTTGCTCAGAGTTCCTCAATGGTGGGACAGACACGACAGCCACAGGAATCGAGTGGGGCATTGCACAGCTAATCACAAACCCGGATGTCCAATCCAAACTGTTTGATGAAATCAAACGGACAGTCGGTGATCGAACCGTGGACGAGAATGACGTTGACAGGATGCCATATTTACAGGCTGTGGTGAAAGAACTTTTGCGGAAACACCCGCCAACATATTTTTCTTTAACACACGCAGTGACTGAGCCGACGACTCTGGCGGGTTATGATATTCCGACGGATGTGAATGTGGAGATTTATTTACCAGCAATTGCGGAGGATCCGAAATTGTGGAGGAATCCAGAGAAATTCAATCCTGACAGGTTTATTTCAGGCGGGGAGGATGCGGATATAACTGGGGTTAAAGGAGTGAGGATGATGCCATTCGGGGTTGGGAGAAGAATCTGTCCCGGTCTGGGAATGGGAACGGTTCATATTCATCTGATGCTGGCGAGAATGGTTCAGGAATTTGAGTGGAGTGCTTATCCTCCGAACTCGAAGATTGATTTTACAGAAAAATTGGAGTTCACTGTGGTGATGAATAACAGTCTGAAAGCTATGGTGAAGCCGAGGTGTTAATTGATTAAAATCTCCAAGGTATGACATTCGGCAAGTTGGGATCATTGGATAAGAAATAGTTTTATTTATATGTTTAAGAATTTTCAGTACTCTTATCTAATGATTCTGACTATCTTTATATCATATAAATACTTATCTAGTTTTATAAAATAACCCAATATTTATGCTATGTGTTTACGGGATTTATGCTTTTTTTTTTTTGTGTGGTTATTTGTTCTGAATTGGGTTTCTTTTGTTGGTTCTTGTACTTCAATGGAATGTTTGATTTTGCCTGAGAAATTAATTCAAATTTCTTGAACATTTGCTTCCTGGAACTGGCATTGCTTCGGAAATGTAATGTAGAGTCAGAGTCAGATTGTATAATGAATGTTGGAAAGTCATCTAATTTTAATTGGGGGTTTGACAAATTTTTGAATGGGCGGTGGTGTTTTATATGTGTCATTGTCATGTTGGTGACTGGCGAGGGCTCTGGAAGTGGTTGGAATTAGTAATTTTCGGATAGGAGTTGTGCTTACAAACCAGAAACCAAGTCACTTCAATTAATCAAACATTTATGTGGTCTCAGGATCTCTTATTTTACTGTGTGCACCTCGGTCAATAAATTTGTAACATCTATGAAATCCTGGGATGAATGATCTAATCAATTTTATAGAAGAGTAGAACTCATATATCCATTCACAGTTGTAATTTATTATAAATCACTTAACTAAGTAATATTATCTCTTATCTAGTGTTTTGAAACCTGACCCGGTAATATTATCTCTTATCTAGTGTTTTGAAACCTGACTCGGGATGTCATCCAGCCACAGGGTCTGGTCTCGGGTTTGACCAGTCTGATCGGTTAAATCGACAAATTTGAAATCATGCAAACACACCCCGATAAATACGCATTAGTCTTTACAGGTTTAAAATCCAGCAAACACCATCACCTGAACCACCGATCTCCACTCTACAAAACCCCTCTAACCCCGGAACTTGGTAGCCTCCGTTCGTCAGCCGTAACTTGCGTATATTGCTATGATTGAGTTGATTTTCTAGTTGATTTCGTCGTCCAAAATTTAATCTGACACCACCCTTTGAACCACCAGCCTCTACTCTACAAAACAGCTTTAACCTCAGCACTTAGTAGCCCCCCTCGTTCACCGGTGGTTTGGTTAGGGATATATAATTTATTACATCCAAATTAGACATTAATAAATAACTTTAGAGAAGTGAGATTCTTCTATTACTTCTCTTTATTTGTTTTGCCTTTGTGAAGGTTCAAGATTTTTGTTATATATATTTATGATATTTGAATTAATGAGCTATGAATAACCACTAAAAACATCTCTTAGGAGATATATAAAACTATAAAAAGTAAATAATAATCACATTCAAATTAAGTCACTCTCAAATACACGTATTCTTTTTGAGTTGTGCCTAAGCCTAATTAAAATGGAGAAGCTTCTCTTCACCTATCTATCCAACTACTTTTATTTATTGCTTCTCTTTGTTATATTCTACTTTTGTCATTGTTAAATGAATTCAATTCACTTTTCTCCATTAAGGGCTTTTATTTTAATAAGGCCTAGTGACTAGTTAGGAAAATTCAACATTATCAAAGTAAAACCATTATATATGAGATGGATTTGTTTAAATGGTTGAAATTGCATTTAAGTTTTGTCATTTTGAATGTAAGAATCGCATTAAATCTCAAACATTCAAAATGTATTGATATAATAGCCTAAAAAATGTGTTATAATTAATGTAAAAAATATAGGTATGCAATGCTCCAGAAATGTTTATTTATATTATTTAATCAAGGGCAGCTATCAGTAAATTTTACTTTTATTTATTTATTTTAATAGAAAAGTCAAATATGCATATAAAGTTTTAAAGAAAAATGTGAAATGGAAGACAGACAGTGTAAAGATAAAAAGGAGTTTGATTGCACATGAAATTTGGGCATGCCATTGTCTTTTGGCGGTGTTTAATTGTCAAACAAAATCATGCAAAATTCTCTCGAGGGTTAAAAAAAAAAAGTTACCAAAGTGAACTATAATTTATTAGATTGCTGGAAATCTTCTCAGCAATAAGGGCCAAACCCCACAGCCTATTTTTTAAACTCCTGGAAATAGCATAATTTATCTAATGTTGTTATTGAACTTGTTAGGATCCAATATCAAGATCTTACACACATCAAGTGTGGTACTTAAGTCTAGAGGCTCTCCCATTTATTGGGCCGGTCTTTTGGGTTGGATTCTCCTTTGGGCTTGAGTTTTAACTTTAGTGCTTTTATTGAGAGTTGGATTACAGAAAGGATTACCTATAGACTAGATTAATGAGCAGTGTGCTCTCCTTGGAAAAGGTGTTACATCAGATAACTAATAAGTGAGTGAAGCCATCCAAAGGGAAAAAGGGCTACCGTCAGATCAATGTCGATAGAGTGAAAACTGTCGTGGATGTCAATTCTTGAAGGAGGGGTGCAATGTTAGAATCCTACATCGAGATTTTACACCCACCAAGTATGATACTTAAGCCTAAGAGCTCTCTCACCTATCAAACGATCTTTTGGGTTGAGCTCTCATTTGGGCTTGAGCTCTAACAGAACTCCCAAAAGTCAGATCATCTATCTAATGTCATTAATCAAAGTAAGATAATTGAACAAATCAAAGTAAGATATATACACGTAATATTTCAGTTTAGAACTTGTGTAGTGATAAGAATACACGTAATATTTCAGTTTAGAACTTGTGTAGTGATAAGAAACCGAAACCAGACTGAAGTGTATTTAGATTTGCAGTTCACACCCTTGATTTCCAGGGCGAGAAAATCACATTGACTGCAATAAATTAAAACCTGGAGAGGAGCGAGTTTTTGACAGGGCCCGACACTGCCAAGGCCATTGGACCTGAATGATAACTGATTAATTTACTTTTCCAGGGGATAAAGAAACTGAGATATCATTTGCACTTTCTGCTGAAAAGGAATATGGAAAAGTGAAAAACAGAAACAGAAGTGCAGCCACATGCAGAACATCACCAAGATCTAAACCTGACCAATGTACAAAGAACTAAGATCCAAATGATACCGGTGAATAAATAAATTTTGGCAACATATGGGCACTCCCTTTTCTTTTATCAGATTCTAAAGCATATTATATAATTTACCTAAATCAGGATACTAGGTACAGAGAATCACAGTTATAAGGCCCATCAGCACCAAGAGTTGCATCATGTGGTGAATCCAACAAAGAATCCATGTATTTGGAGAAGACAAATTAGAAACAAAACTGCCAGAAACCAGCTACTATTGAAAAGAAAATGAGGGAAAAAAAAAAAAAAAAAATCAATTTCTGCAATATTTACAGTACCCCACATCGGAAATTAGTGTTTTCTGGAATCTGAATGTCGGTTTGATCGGTATTGCTGGACCCATTTTCAGATTCTAGCATAAGTCTCACTGAATGAAGCAGCTTAGATTCAAGAATTACCATGGAAATTCAAGGGTTTGATGGACTTTCGACTTGTTTGTTTACAGAGTCTTTTGTAGTCTGATGAGCCTCAGTTGTGGTGGAAATGTTGTCGCCAGCTTCTGCTCGATCACCTTCAGATGAAAATGAGTCCTCTTGAACAGGGTCCATCCTGTGGTTGCCAAGGGATCTTGAAGAAAACCCACGTCCAGTCAACAAGAAGTTATACGAATGTCTATCGAAAGCATGGCCATAATGAGATCGAACAGCTGAACTAAACAAGGGCTGCAGCAAGCGCTTTCTCTCAGGACACTCACGCAGTGATATTCGACAAACTGGACATGTGGAATGTTGTTGCAGCCATATGTCTATGCAAGTAACATGGAAGAAGTGACCACAATAGGGAAGAATTCGCAATGTATCTTCACAATGGTATTCTGAGAGGCAAACTGTGCATCTGCCAAGAGAGAAAAAAAATTTAAAAACAAAGAAACCATATTTCTGTTTACCAGGATATTGAGGTAATAAAAGCTCATATGTGATTCAAGTAAAAGGAAACAGAACCCCAGCGGAAAAGCACTCCACAAGTACAGTGCTAAAAAGAAACAACATTACAGAAACCCAGGTTGTAAGTTACTAATAATTTTAACTCATTCTTTAGAAGAAAAAACATTTAAGAACATTCAAAATCCAAAGTTCTAAGCCTCCAATTACACCAAGAAGATATAAAGAAATCATATTGTAACATAAAACCTAGAAGGGATCGCTAAGAAAGAACAAAGTGCCAAAAATGGGGACTCCGGAACCATTCCACAATATAGAGTTAATTTTACATAAACCGAATGTAAACACTTTAAACTTTAGCAGCAAAAACTGTAGCATCAAACAAGCTGATTCCAATCACCAATTAATACCCACAATTAATTCTCTGCCAGACACAATCCTTAAAAAAATTTCTTTAGTGTATAATGTTGATATAAGAAGAATATGCAGAAGTCTACCACAAGTGTCTAGTGCAAAATTTCAAGGAAAAATGGGGAGAAATGAAATTTATTTTCCTTGTTTAAACCCAGAACCTGGATGCTTAACTAAAGAAGATGAAGAGCAACCTGAGGTCAAAAATATTTTTTCTAGCAGGTAGATTTTATGGACTGTCATGCACATCCAATACCAAATGAATATGTATAGAAGTTCAGAACTGATAATACTTTGATATAATGGAGTAATCTTCGTTGCAACCCAGAATGTAATAGAGCCACAATTGTGCTGTAAAAAATATAAAACCTATCTGTTTCATTATTAGACCATGACTATACAAAGAACAGCATATTATAAACAGAACAATCCTAATCACTCTTCTATTCTCCAGACATATGCATTATCTTCCACATAAACTTCAAAGACATAACACCACTAGGCTCAAAAATCAAGTCGCACAATCCAAAATGAAGTAATTTCCCAGCATCCGCTTCCTAGGAAAGGAAGGTATGGGGTCTTTTTAAAAACTTGATGAAAGGAAAAAAATCTATTGTACGACATTGTTACAAATCTGAGTCGGGTTTAGTTACATTAGCTTTCAAGAGATCTGGCTTTTTATGATTAGAACTAAAAGATAATTTGCTGCCCCAAAAAACACTATTTGCTTAAGATGAGAAATCAATTAATCATAGTGTTGCAAGCGCCAACTCCCTTTATCTAATCCTAAGTGAAGAAATAAACAGTTTCACTTCACAAATGCATCTTGTAGATAAAATTTTATCAACACAGTAAGCTTAGAGAGGGGCAGCTAAATTTCACATGACAGCGTAAGCAAGTAAATGTTAGACAGCATATCAATGGAACATCCAAAGTCCAAACCGATGTTGAACACCATTAGACGGCTTATGTTGAGGTTTCAAGGTAAAACTTGCACAATTTCTGAACATTTTACTTATCAAAGTTATGAAACATTTGATTTATTTTCATTCAAACCAGAACTATTTAATGAAGATGAAAACCAGTTCATCCTCCTCCCTTATTGCAATCCCATAAAAGAACTATGTTGAAGAGAGCACTCAATTTGTCAAATATAATCAAAGACCACTTGTTTTATGGGCTGCAACTGGCTTCATTGGTTCTAAAGAATAACACTCAAATAAATATTTCAAACTGGGAAATAAAATTTCAGAGACTCCCAATAAATATAGGCCAAACCCAAAGGTTCTATATGCTCTACCATCATTCATAGTAGAGCTAAGGAGTATAGCTTCCACAGAATATGCTTCACAGTATACTTAATTTTAACACACCACTATGTCCTAGAAAAAAAAGTCAAAAATCACCGTTTCTTGAATACATCAAAATTCAAAAGGATAGTAGACAGAAGGACATTCTTTCAGCAATAAGTCAAAACAAAGATTTTTGCACATTGACATTGGTAAGACCAGCATGCCTGATGAAAAAATTAGTGTCACCAGTCATACATAGTTCATGTAAGGCATTTTGCACCTTGAAATATATGATGACATTTGGAACATTTTCCATTGTTAAAAACCAACCCTGATTTGGCCAACAAAAGCTTGAATAATCAAGCACATAATCCGGGAATGACTAAATGCCTAATTGAGGGGCACTTATTTAGCCAAGATGTTTCCTAGAAATCAAGAGAATCAACAAACAGAAAAAGGAGTAAGGAACACATGATTAGACAGACACAAGTTAAGGGGAAAAAATGAACTGAATGACTTACAGGTTCACTTCACTTGATACTCCATTGGATGAGTAAATCAACTGAATAAGTAACATAAAACCACTAAAACTATTCACTTAAACTTTTGGCCCCCTTCTTTTTCCATGGAAAGAGCTTAAAAACAGAGAGAACAAAAAGAATACCCTCAGCATTCTACAAGTGGTAGATATGCCTTATCAATATACTTTCATAATGATATATTGGCCATTGCATATCATCCAAACTTGATATAAGCCTCTAATAGGAAAACAAAAAGGAATGAGATTATAAATTAATGGCGCTGTAAATCCAAGAAAACTTGTATCTCAACATAAAGAGAGAGAGAGAGAGAGAGAGAGAGAGAGAGAGAGAGATACTTTGAAGGACAGAAAAAAATTCAAGAAACAAAAATGAACATTGTTGTAACTTGTAAGAATAAAGAAAGGCAACAACGAACATACTGAGCATCTTCTGCAGCTGCAAAAAACTCATCACTGTACTTCTTTGTCGGAAAGTTGGCTACAGTTACAGGCTCAAGACCATGAAACCCTCTTTCCAGCTGTACCACAAAACAAAGGAACGGTCAAATTCATTGCCAACCCTCCCCCTTAAATACCCCAGAGGAAATTTATCCTATAGGAAAGAGAACAAATGAAACAGACTCACTGTGAACCAAATGCACACACCAGCTGATGAAGTCACAAAAACAAACCATTTTCCAGAAGAAAATAAAAGTAAAAATTGACTACCAGTCACTACTAGTACAAGAACAAGCACCAAATAATCAAAATTACTAGAGACAAAGAAACAAAAGGTCATGCTCAACCAAAAGCTGCCATGGATCAGTAATTTCACCAGTACAGTACCAATTCCCAGAAGTCAAATTGAACAAAGAACAAAGGGTTAAGCAACAGTGATAGACTACAGATCATTTTTGTAACATTCAACAAGAAATTACCAGCAAAAACATGAAATCCAAAAAAAAAATCCATTTTAGCGTGATAAAGCTCAGAAATTTACCTTGTTACTAACTCAGAAATATTATTGATTAATAAATATTACCATTTTCACTTTCTAGCTCCTCTTTTCACTAAAGAGATTTAAAATTTATACAAAAATAGACCATTTTTTAAGCTGAAAATGAGCAAAAACTTGAAATTAAAAGAACCCAAAAACCTAATTTTCATTGAAATGCTTACCAAGCTGAAATCAGATCGAGAGGCAATGGGAAAAGATCGTCTAGATGCGTTCAACTGAATCCGAGCACAGATAAGGCGTGTAAAAACAAACACTATAAACATAATACTCACAGCGAATCCTATCACTGTCATGACCAAATTCATCCCTGAAGATATCATCTTTTCTTTAAATTTCTTCACTTTCCAATATCAAAAACTAAACTTGATTCTCAGAATCCAACCAAACCCAGAACTCAGCTCAACCCTCTGTGAGTTTCATTAACACTGGTTGAGTAGGTAGTTTATTTTCTTCATACATTACATGAACTCATTGTCCAGTACCTGAGACTGTTTCATAGGATGAAATGAGAAGAAGCAGGAGTGTGAAAATGGAAGGGATGGAGAGAATGGGCAGAGCCATGAAGTGAAACCCACATGGAAAATAAGATTTTGATGAGAGATTGAGTGAATATAAGGGAGACTTTGGCAGATCTAAAAACAGTAATAATCTTAAGAGCAAAACTGAAGCTGATCCCAACTGAACAGAACAGAACTGCTTTGCTTAGTTTTTACTTTTGTTTTTGGTTCTTTATTATTCCAATTCTTGCCTTGCTTGTTGGGTTGAAAAACTTTTATGTACTCCTTCGAGGGCCATTTCCAACCCATTTCACCGTATTGGTGTAAGTTTCACGCCAAATTTGCGTAATTTTTAATATAAAATATTATCGCATTTCTAACTTATTATACTAAATATTATATTAAAAAAATATTTCTTAAAATATTTTGTTTCTTTTTTTTATATAATAATCAATAATTAATATATTTTATTCATTATTTATATATATATATATTAATTAAATATTAAAAATAATATTTTTATTAAATAATAATTACTTTAAAAATTATACTAATTTAATAAAATTAAGTATTTATTTAATCAAATAAATATTACATTTAATATAGAAAAAATTATATTTAATATAAAATGATATATATAAAAAAAAAAACAACAACAACAACACAAAAGTAAAATTCTATATTAATAGTAATTTAATTTTCCGAATTAGTATATTCTTCCCACAAATGATCAATTAATGCATTTTGAAGAGTATGGTTAGCCTCTGTATCCTTGATTTGTCTATGTCGAGCAAGAAATTTTTGAAATCGAACATTTTCATCTACGACAATTTCAACTTGGGGAGTTGACGCTTCCATCTGATTCTCAATCGATGCATCAACATTATGATCATCATCCATTATCATGTTGTGCATAATAATATACGCAGTCATTATATCATGTAATATATTTTTTTCCCAAAAATGTGTCGGTCCTACCACAATTGCAAACTGCGATTGGAGAACTCCAAACTCCAATCGCACGTTCCACATCTTTTCTACATCCTTTTTGTTTCATTGTAAATAATTTTTTTTGGGACTACATGGATCGTGAATAGTTTGTAAGAGAGTAGACCGCTTTGGGTATAAACCATCAGCTAAATAATAACCCATATTATACTATTTTCCTTGAATGATATAATGAGCGGGAGGAGCAATACCTTGAGTTAGGTTGACAAACATATGAGATGCCTCCAACACATTAATGTCATTGTTGGAACCTGACAAACCAAAAAATGCATGCCATTTCCAAAGATCATAATCAACTACAGCCTCGAGAATAATAGTTGGGGATCCACTATGACCAGCATATTGTCTGGCCCAAGCTATAGGACAATTTTTCCACTTCTAGTGCATACAATCTAAACTACCCAACATTCCTGGAAAACCATGTTGTTCACCAATATGAAGTAGCCTTGCAACATCATTAGCATTAGGTGATTTTAGATATCGTTCTGCAAATACCTCAACAACAGCACGACAAAATCTCTTCAAACTTTCAATGGTTGTAGACTCGCCTAATTTAATATACTCATCAGTAGCATCTGCCGGTAGACATACGCCAACATCCGGAATACAACTGTTATTTTTTGAAAAGCAGACAATTCGAGCCTACCGAGCCCATCCCTTCGTTGTACAAAGTAGTTATCATGACATTTCACGCGATCAACAATAAGAATGAATAAATTTTGAGACATTCGAAATCTTCGGCGAAACATGAAATCATTATACCGTGGATTATTGGCAAAATAATTATTGAACAGATTGCGATCAACAGTTTCCCAGTTGCGATTGATGACTCTATGACCAGGAATTGATCCTCTATGGATCACCTGGTTGTTTTGTTGATTGAGATAGCGAAGGAGGAGGAGGTTGTTGTTAGCTCTCATGCGAATGATTGCTTCTTGCTCTGCATCAATCGCTTCAAGATCATTCATCAATTCCTCGTCATCAATTTCATTGTCAGAAAATGATGACGAATTAGAAGATGATAAATGAGATGGACCTCCAAAATTGAAATTCATCTTTGTACACATATTAGTTGAATGATTTGGAAGTTGATTTGGTGTGAGCTTTTATAGTTGAAGAAGATACTATTCTAGATAAAAAATAATAATTCAAAAAGATGTATTGTCCATTCAAGCTTTCAATTCAAACTTATGTTATAAAGGAGCATACAACACATTAGTTTTGAACACATCTCTTCTATTTCCTCTTAGAAAAAAAAAAAAAAAAAAAGAAGCTAATATCTTCTTCATTTGTGTTACAAAATGACTACACAATGAAGTTCTTCGTACACAAATGAAGAAGACATGCATCTATGTCATATTTATCTTGATGTTTCTCAAAACCCGATTTTAGGTATAAACCAATCTAGCGATCAATTCTGGTCTCGAGTTGAGCTTGACTACAACAGTTCCAAACCCGTGTTTCTCACTCAGGTCCAAAACAAAAGATCTTTGCATTGTCGAATGCAACTGATCTTTAAAGCTATTGGCAAATTGAGGGGATGCATATGTCAAATTGAAAATATGAATCCAAGTGGTGCTTTTGAGCAAGATATTGTGAGTATTTGTTACATTTAATTAATTTTTTTTATCTAATTGATTTTAACGTTATATTTATATTGTTTTGTAGATGATTCAAGCCAAGATGTTACTAGCACAATATAAAAGTTACAAGAAAGGTTTTAGATTTGATCATGCGTGGCCTATACTTAAGGATATTGAAAAATTTACAAATAATGTTAATGCCGCAGAAATATTTCAAAGGCAAACCGGTAGGTTTGTATCACAAGAATCAGAGACTCCCACTTTAAAGTCTCCCCAATCGGTGTCTTGTGATATGTCGTCATATTCTCTAAACATAAATGATGAAGATATTGGGAGCAGTTCAGCTCAACGACCCATTGGAGTGAAGAAAGCAAAATTAAAAAGGAAAAATGGTGAAGAAGTTTCAAACACTATTGAAACTATTCAAGAAGAAAATCGACAGGTCGCTGCTATTTTCAATCGGTGCAACTCAGCTAGGGCACAAAATTATGAAATCCAAATGAAAAAATTGGCTTTGGTAGAATATCGAGAAGATAACAAAATTTTATTCAAGGATTTGAATTCCATAACCGATCCAAGCCTACGTGAGTTTTTTCAAAATGAGCAATCAAGAATTATGCAAAAAATAGCTCAACAACTAGGTCAAGGATCTCAAAATAAATCTAGTTCTTTCCAATATTTTGATGATCTTAGAGGATCCAAAACTAATCTACCGGAATACTAAATTGTTATTTTAGTTTATGTTGTATTTTCTTTTAATTTTAGTGTTTTTAAATTAGTGTTAGTTTTTATTTGAGTTATTGTAGTTTAATATTTACATTGAATAAAGTTTTGTTTTTAATTTTTCATCATTTTTTGAATTATATAATTATTATGAATTTATTATTATAAATATTAATCAAATTAACTTAAATACAAATAACAAAAAATATATATATATTTTTTTTTATACTGTTTGAACAGTGCCACACCAAATTGGTGTGCATGAACAGGGCTACACCAAATTTGGCGTGGCACTGTACATGGACACCAAATTGGTGCAAAAGTTGGTGTTGGGTTGGAGGCGTCTTTCACGCCATTTTGGTGTTTTTACACCAAAATAGCCCTAGGTTGGAGATGTCTTAACTATTTTTTTAGGGATATTTCATAAACCCCTACATCTTTTGCCGATTTCTATACCACCTGCCATTATAGAAAATAGGAGGGTGACCCCCATTTTTGACATACTGTATAACTTTTCTGTTAAAAATTTGTCAGAACCATTTAATGACAATTATACCCCGCAATGATATAATTGTGTTTTAAGACTATTTTAACCTTATATTAATATATAATATCAACAATACCATCGTGCCTAAAGGTGGAAAATTAACCCGCCCGACTTGTGGAGGGTTAAGAAAAATTACAGGCCAAGCTGGGTTAGGCCCGCCCCTTTAGTCATAAGGGTTAGCCTAGCCCGGCTCGCCAACCCTATCCTGGTGGGTTTTTGTGATGGCCGGGTTGGGTCAGCCCGAATTTTTTTATTTTATTTGATTTTTTTCTCTTGTGTAATTTTTTTTAGCTAACTTTTCAAATATCAATAATTCAATTAAATTATTTTTTTTACTAACATTTTAAATATTAATTCAATTTTAATACAATTAAATTGTAATATAAGAAAAATTAGATTTATTCATTTCTCAAAAAATAAAATAAGAAATAAGAAATTACAACAATTATTGTTTCGTTAAAAACCTTACTAAGAAAAACCCATTGGGACAAAAACTTGGTAAGGAAAAAAGAGTGCAATAATTGATAGTTAATTTACAAATTACAAAGTTACAATTTATAAAACAACTAATTTGAGGGTTGACTAGGGCCTCTCTCATTTGTATCATCTAAATCACAAAAATGAAACGATTCTATTAACGTATCATTGATAACCTCGTATTGATCCTAATGGCACGATCGTTCCCAATCTCGAAGACATATGAGGTCTTCGATCAATTTTGGTGAAAGTTTAGTCCTCCTGTCATTTAAAATTATTCCACTTGCACTAAATGTTTGTTCGGATGAGACGGTTGAGACAAGAACAGAGAAAACATCCAGGGCAAGTCTTGATAATACCAGAAAAATATATTTTCTGATTTTCCAATATTGTAAGAAATCAAAGTTGGCTCTTTGTTGTGGATTTGCTGGTAGCACGTGGGGGGTTCCCAAATATTGGTGAAGCTTATTACTCTGTAGTTGCATGGAGGACAATATATTCGTTGTTGATGCTTCTGAAGAGGAGGCTATGCTTCAGGTTCGGGTCTTCTTCGGTTATTAAGTGCACTTCAGGAGTCGGAGTCTTCATTTGTATATTCTGATGCTACTTCCTCTGGTATTTTTCCTCTTCGTTGGTTCTCATACCTGCTTTCATATTTCAAATATACCTCTTCAAAACACTCTCTTAGCTCACCTAGTTGATTGGCATATGCTTCGTCTCATAAATTTTTACTTAATGTGTCTAAACCATTTTCTAAACCCGCTAATTTAATTCTAGAATCAAATATGACAGCTAAACAAAAAAGAAAAGGAATGCGTTTCCAATATTTTTTAAATTTTAATTTCATTGCCTCTATTGGTCCCGCTAAAATTTCATTGTTTCTATTTTTTTAAATAAATCTTAAATTTTTATAATTGTATGTATGACCAATAGACTAGTAGGATAATACACACCAGAAAGTTTTAAAGTGAATTGATAAAAAATTTGAAGAAAAGAATAAAATTTTTGAGCTATATGCCAATCGCTGTCTACCAAATAATGAAGACCTCTATTATTTGCTACAAAATAACTAATTAAATTTGTATAAGGTAAACATGAATCAAACATTAAATAAGTACTATTCCATCTAACAGACATGTCTAATGCAAAAGTTCTAGGAGACATATTTGATTTTATACAAACATCTTGAAATTCAACATTTCTTCTATTACTACTAGTAATCCAAGCTAAAGAATCCCTAATTCTATCAATATTATTTCCAATTTTTTCATACAATTTTTCACAATTATTTTAATAATGTGACATGCACAACGTTGGTGAAAAAAACTTCAAATTGTCATAAAAAAGAAAATTTGTTTTAAAAAAAATATATAGCTCTACTATTAGCACTTTCATTATTTAAAGTTAAACTTATCACTTTGTGAATAATATTATAATCTTCTAAAACTTCAACAATTTTATTATAAATTTGTTGACCACTATGATCAACATCCATTAATCTAAATCCTAATAAAAATTTATTTAATTTACATTCATTATCAAAATAATAACTAGTCACACAAATATAATCTTGTTTAGCTCTACCACTTCAAATATTGGCGGTTAGAGCCACATTAACACGACAACTATGCATTTTATTTCTTAATTCTAATTTTATTTTCCCAAATAATCTTATTAAATCATTTATAGTTGTAGTTTTAGAATAACTTTTAAATCCTAGAAAAAATGAATTTTTAATTAATATTTCAAAATATTTATCTTCAGCCATATTAATAGGTTGATCAGTTACAACAATATATAAAGCTAATTATTCCCTATATACATCAAAATTATAACACCAAGTAATACCCATATTAGTTATTTGAGTTTGATTGATTTCTCTATTTCTAAGTTGATTCATATGTTTAGTAGCATGTCTTTTTATAGTACTAGTACCATTACCTGTATCAACTTTATAAATATTTCCACAATACTTGCATCTTGCTTTCTTCACTTGAACTCCATTTTCTATCTCATAAAACTTTTTGAAATACACCCAAACGTCTGATGTGTGCATGTTGTCGGTTTCGACTACAGTTGATGAACCCGCTTTTGCTTGAGATGGAGTTGGACGAGGATGACGATTACGCGGACGACTTCTAGAACCACTAGGAGCTACAACAGCATGGGGAGGAAGGAGGGAATATTATGAGGTGTATTAGATTCTGAGAATGAGAAAGCGAGACTATTTGAATCTACTGCATTTACGTTAGTAAATTCAGGAGGACTAGGATAATTTTCTTCATCATCAAAATTGATGGGATGGAAATATCTATCCATTCTAGTTTTAAAAATAATGGATATAAAAGAAATAAAGAATTAAAAAAGGAGAATTGAAATTTAGAAATATGAATTGAAAATTACAAAAACTAATAAAAATTAAAATTAGAGCAAATAGACAACGAAGAGATTGAGAGATTTTAATAAAGAGAATGAGAGAATTTGGGATGTGAGGAAATATGGGAGTTTAGGCCTTATTTATAGAAAAAAAATGGAAAAATAAAATGACTAAAAAGACCCCTCCAACTGCTATAAACGGCTATATTTGAAGGGTAAAATAAGTCTTTGCAAAAAAAATTAATTAATTTAATTTTTATTTTTTTTTGTCCAACCAACGGGTCAACTCGACGGGTTGTCTGTTGGGCTACCAATGGCCAACCCGCCGAGTTGACAACCCCCAACTCGA